TCTGAGTGCACACCAGACACCCAGGGCAGCACCACCTGGAGGGATATCCAGGTGTTGGGAGACCACAGACGGGGTGAGGCAGCCATTTCAGACAAGGACCCCCAGCACTCCACGAGCATCCGACACCGGCAGAAACTATTCGAACAAAGGCCGCCACCACCCCCTACTCTACTCCCAGCACTCAGGGCTGACCTGATTCCAGCCTTGGCTTCCACGGCGTCCCTAGGCAGCTCCCATGTTTCCACCCCGTGGCACCCTGAACATGCCCTCCCTTTCCCACATCTGTTTGTGCTATACCTCTGCCCGTCTCTGCCCACGGAAATCCTACCTATCTCCCAAGGCCCATCTCAACCACCAAGCACCACCTCCTCCAGGAAGTCTCCTCTGGTTCCCTCACACTGTGTAACTCTCCAAAGCACATTCCATACTCTATCTTGATGTGTGGGCATCAGTGAGCTTGTCTAATGCCCCGCCCTCCACATGTGAGATGAAGGCTTGGCTCCTGTCACTCATCACAGCGCCCCCAGCACAGCAGCTGTGCACTGAGAGCTAAGGAGCCCAGGCCGCTGCGCTGCATGCCCTCCCTGACGGCACCCTGTTTACGGTCCCTTCCAATTCTCCCCTCCACCTATTCCCAGCTAACTCATCCCTCAGTTCTCTCAAGGGTCGGCTCGCAGCTGACAGCTAATCGGAGATACACTAATCTTCGTCAACATGTCCTTCCCAGTTAAATGCTATATTTTTACCAAAGGCCTTCTGGAGACAAGGCCTGAAGACAAAAGTGGGAATTTTAGGCCCCAAGGCTCTGGGGAGGTATGTTTGATAAGAAAAGATCTTGCACCAAGCGACTGTGCAAACCAGTGCTACAAGAGTAGCATCCTAAATTCAAAGAATGTGAGAGCGTGACACAGGGGGCTGAGTCTCTGTCCTTCGAAAGGGAAGGCCAGGGCTGGCCCAGAGGCGTGGTGGTGAAGTTTGCATGCTCTGCCTCAGCAGCCTGGGGTTCACAGGTTCGGATCCTGGGCATGGACCTACACACTGCTCATCAAGCCATGCTGTGGCAGCATCCCACATATAAAGTAGAGGAAGATGGGCACAGATGTTAGGTCAGGACCAATCTTCCTCACACACAAAAAAAGGGAAGGCCAACTTCAAGTAACACTGCCTGAGACTAATCACAGCCTGGCAGATATGGAGGATGGAGAACAGACTTGACTCTGGCCTGGCTGAGTGACCTTGAGCAAGGAAAAGCACCACCCTGGCCTCTGCTCAGTATCAAGAAGCCTCTGAGCCTCAGTTTCCCCATAGGTGAAAAACAAGGTGGCAGGAGTGAGAACCAGATGATCCCAGAGAGCCCTTCCAGTCTGACATCCCCAGGTCTATGACTCATGCCCTCCACCTTCCTCCCTCCCAGGAGGTCAGTATCATTTGAAACTATCCTACTTCCACTCCCGTCTGGCCTTGAGCCCTACCTGAGTCCAAAGGGAGAGGAAACACTGAAGATCTCCCAGCCAATCAGCAGGCAGCATGCAGGTGGAAGGATGGGGCAGAAGTGAGGGAAAGGTGTTGGTTTCTATGGACACAGAAATGCTGCTTTCATCCCGCCATCTGGCCCAGCCTGCAGTCAGCTGGTTGTCGTTGCGTCCCTGACCTACCTTTTTAAGCGATTACAACCGCCTGCCAAATTTAAGTGCTGCTCTGAAATCAGGACATATAAGGTCTCTCAGCCTGGATCTAAAGGGTTTCAAAGTAGGTAGAGAGCGGGAGTGATGAAGAATGAAACCTGGAGGCAATCTAGGCCGCATTGTGCAGCCATGCCAATTAAAGATCTTTAAAAATAGCCTCTCCCTTCTCTCATGCTGAAGATAAAGATGAAGTTTCAGCAATAAACAGACATCTGCTAGGAGCTTCTGAGGAGATTACAACATAAACACGCAGAGCGCAGCCATAAACAGCCCAGAGGCCTCTTGGGGCGCAGGCAGCAGCCTGCTCGCCCATGGGGGGAGGGACAGAAGGAGGTGGTGCTGAGAGGCTGGAGGCTGGGCTCCCCAGGAGCAGGAGGAGGTGGTGGTAGGGAGCTCAACTTGGTAGAAAATGGAGAACTGGCTGCCTTCTGCAGGGAAATAAAAGCTCAGGAACCTACTGAGAGGATTTCCAGGAAGCCGTCCAGAGGATTCCAGGCCAGTGTCATTCATCCTGAAAATGGGTCACTCCTTAAAAGTGGAAAAAACTGACATTTTTGAGTGCCTACCTATACGAGGCACTTGACACATATTTTTAAGTTCTTCTCCGTATCAATCCCTTGAGACAGGTGCAATTACCTCCTTTTTATGGACTAAAATACTACAGCTCATTGACTTGACCAAGGTCACATGGTTAGGATTCGGGCCCAAGTCTGTCCTCTGCATATACCATGTGCATCCAGAACAGGCCCCTGAGGTTTATTCTCAGCAACACCCGCAGATCTCACACAAGGAGAGTCCTCAAGGGGAGAGATGGCAAAGGAGGGCGGAGGGGCAGGGGGCAAGCTTCGGTGGGTTCAAACAACCGCTGAGTCTCTGCAGCCTGGGCCCTGTCACTTCACATCCTGGTTGCCTCCCAGTAGCTCTGAAGAGGAACAAAGTGGGAAACAGGCACAAATGCCTGCCTAGACTCCGTCTGGAGGGATCCATGGGAGACTGGGGACAGCAGACGCCCTTGAGGAGGAGCACTGAGGGCTGGTGGACGGGAAGAACAGAGACTTACTTTGCAACAAATTTCCTTTGTACTGAGTGATGATGTTAGCATGCCTCCGTGTCTGTGTGGGGGCGAGTACCATCATCTATGTGTCTGTGTAGGGGTGAGTACCATCATCTATGTGTGTGGGGGGAGGTGGGTACCATCATCTATGTGTGTGGGGGGGGGGGTGGCGAGTACCATCATCTACGTGTGTGTGGGGGGGTGGGTACCATCATCTATGAGTGTGGGGGGGGTGGCGAGTACTATCATCTATGTGTGTATGCGTAGGGGTGAGTACTATCATCTATGTATGTGTCGGGGGGTGAGTACCATCATCTATGTGTGGGGGGGGCGGCGAGTACCATCGTCTATGTGTGTGTGTAGGGGTGAGTACCAACATCTATGCATATGTGTGTGGGGGGGGGTGGGTACCACCATCTATGTGTGTGTGTGGCGGGCGTGAGTACCATCATCTATGTGTGTGGGGGAGGCAGCGAGTACCATCATCTATGTGTATGTGTGGGGGGGGGTGGGTACCACCATCTATGTGTGTGTGTGGCGGGCATGAGTACCATCATCCATGTGTGTGGGGGAGGCAGCGAGTACCATCATCTATGTGTATGTGTTGAGGGGGTGGGTACCACCATCTATGTGTGTGTGTGGCGGGCATGAGTACCATCATCTATGTGTGTGGGGGAGGCAGCGAGTACCATCATCTATGTGTATGTGTGGGGGGGTGGGTACCACCATCTATGTGTGTGTGTGGCGGGCATGAGTACCATCATCTACGTGTGTGGGGGAGGCAGCGAGTACCATCATCTATGTGTGTGTAAGGGGTGAGTATTATGCATCTATGTCTGTCTGTGTGGGGGTGGGTGAGTCATTTTTAAGAGAGTCCAAGATGTCAGGTACAAGATAACAGACACACCCAAGCTGTAGAAGGAAACCTGGACCAAGCAGAAAGTCCTGGTTGCTGCCAGCCTGGAATCCAGAAGAAGCCTGAGACTTCATCTAGGGCGCCCCCCTCCTTCACAACAGCAATGTGCTGCAAGTCCAGGCAGACGGCCCAGAAGCTCTCCTAGCATGGACTCCACAGTCCCCAAGGCCCCAGCCAGTGGCACCAGCCCCACAGGACATTTCCTGAGGAAAAAGTTGACTGAATCCTCTCCTGAGGGTCTAGAAAGAGGCCTCCATGCCCCTGCTCATTCCTCGTTCTGTTTTCCCTTTCATTGGCTATCATTCTCCTCCTTCCTCCAAGTAAAGAGCTCCTGACTCATCATCTTTCTATCAAGTTGTGCAAAAGCCCAGCTGTCCTGATACATGGAGCCGTCAGCACCCAGTGTTTACAGCAACCATGAACTCTACACACTGCACCTTGACCCCCCCAGTCTGCTTCCCAGGATGAACAGCTGTCCAACAGAGGGGTCAGCACTCTGCCAGGCCCCCGGCAGACCCTGGGCCCACTCTGCTCCAGGGAGCAGCTCTCCTTAGTGACCAAAAGGTCCAGGTGCTTTTTTTCCAGGCACTTCTTCCTCCTCCCCTACCTCATTCTCCTGGTCCCCAGCGCAAGTTAAACCCTGAGATCCGGCAAATCTTTACCAGACGTTGTCAGTACTCAGACAAGTAGCCAAGGCCGGCCATTCAGAGCCACAAAAGCAAAGAAGTCGTTTTCACATCTTAACACACTGATAACTTGGTGGCAAGGGCAGAACAGGATGTTCCTAGACTCCCACTCCCGTCTCTGGCGTGGCCAGGCTTCTGGACTGGGTGTGTCAGGAGCTCGGGCCTGCAAATGTCCCATAAACCTGCTGTTGTGGCAGCTCAGGGACCAGGGGCCACAGTCCACTCCTTGCTGCCCTCCTCTTGCCGCCAGCAGAAAGGACATCTACACTGGACATCCCCCACTGCCCAAGAAGGAGGAAAACCTGAGCCCCAACCCAGCAGGAAAGCAGTCCCTGTCCGTGGGCCTGCCCTTACCTCTGTCTTCCCCAGAGAGACACCTGCCCGAGCCTTGGGAGGAACGCAGGTGTGCGAGGCATCTTGTCAGCCCCTGGGAGGAGGGCACTTAGCGGGGGAAACTGCCCTGACCCGCAGGGCAGAGAAACACTAGTGCAAATACAGAACACACTAAGAGTCCCAGCCCTAAGAACACTAGCTCCACACACACACACAACTCCCTGCCAGCCGCCATGCAGACAGGACTGGTTCCCTGTGACGGACCGTAGAAACAGTTAGATGCACGGACGGGTACAGGGGACCACATGTCAGACACGACATCATACCTGGTATTCACAAAAGGCTCTCCATGGGGAACACAGGGATAGATATCTCTTCAACAGCTGACAGAGAAGGGAGGCATCTCAAAAATCAGACTCCATGGGACCCAATCCTGCACTGAAGGTTTGTCTGGGACGAGAGGGCCCATGTCCCCGATCCCTCCAGCCAGCTCTGAGTTTCTGAGACCAGAAGATCAGTGCTTCAGAAAGGAGGAGCCTTATCAGCGCAGACCAGCCATGTTGTCTAGCTCTGGGGAGGATACAGGGAGGAAAACAGACTGTGCTGGAAGGAGGGGTCGGGGCCCCCAGAGTGAGGCTGGCGGGGCGCTTGGCTATCAGGCACTTTCCCACGAGGGCGAGACGGCGGTGGGAGGCTGCAGCTTCGCCCTGCCTGCCTTAACGCACGGTGTCACTCCGTCCTCCTCTGATATCTCAGCCTCCCTGAATAAAAAAATCAAAATCAAGAGCCTAACATCAGCACGATTTCATTTTGGGGAAACCAAAGTGAAATTCTCAGGAAGGAAAGGGGGGAGGTGGAATGGGAGAGGGGTAGGCTATAGGGGTTCAGAGCTGGGCCATCTCCCACTCCAGCTTTCTTTACTTTCTAACTTTTAGGAGGTCCAGGTATGTTCTTTAAACTAATGTCATAAAATCAATAAAATAAGCAAATAAAATCCCAATGGCTCTGGGACCTTATCTACGCATATAGCTGTACCAAATGCATGTATAATTTTGTCTCCCATCCAATTCGGTTGAAGGCAGTTCTCTCTTTTTTAAGAGAAAAAACCCAAGTATTTGGATTTTCCATTAGAAAAATAAAATATTCTTATTATAAAAATTTTGGAAAAATACTGAGAAGTAAAAGATAAAGGGTAAAAATCAACTCTAGCCCTGCCATTCCGAAAGACTTAACATTTTGCTATTCTTCTGCCTAGGGGAAAAGACTGTCTATGTTTAAGAAAAAGAAGGAGGAGGAGGAGGAGGAAGAGGAGGAGGAGGAAGGGGAGGAAGAAAAGAAAAAAAGAAAACCTCCTGATTTGAAGGCTGTTTGCAGAGAGGGGTCCTCGCTGGGTGGGTCAGAAGATGTCTTCAGTGTGCCCAGCCCCTTGAGGGGACCTAACAAGGGAGCCGGGTGTGAAGTGCGTCACCGAGAGGAGGAGCACACCTTTTCCTCCCCTCCTGAGCCTCTGGTCCCTTTCATTAGGAAACCCACAGAGGTGCCAGGGGTAACACTATCTCCACGCCACAAATTCAGACAAGACACTGAAAGGTCAGAAGCGTTCGTTTTCTGTCACAACCCACTCGTTGCGGGTGAATCACAACTGAGAAAGGCTCCACGACTCACCTAGGTGTGAGGCAGGTTAGAGAAGGCTCCTGAAGGCACCAGGGAAGAAGTTCTGCCCACAGAGAGAAGGACCAAGAGAGAGGTGGGCAGCGTCCGCCGAGCAGCCCTAGCACCGAGCGTCTGGGTCATAATGTGGTAATCCGTGTGGCTGAGCAAGTTGGGATTCAAAGCTCGGCAGAAATGACCTCAGTCCCTGTCAGTCCCACATGTGATCCGGGGAGGCCAGTTGCTGATCAGGGCACAAAGGCAGCTGTCTGGGCTCCCACCACAAACCAGAGCGGCGCGGCGAGCACAGCAAATAGTTCTCCTATTATTTCAGGATGTTTACGGACTGACGCTTGCTGAGGAAACGTCCACACGCGAGTAAGTCATCTTTTTTTTTAAGCCTCTTATCTAAACACAGGCACGGGCAGTTACACAAGCCCACCACAGGGTTCATTCATTCAAAATGCATTTCCTGAGTGGCTATGACACAACTGGACAGATGCTCGGCCAGCCTCCGCCCCGGCCCAGACACAGCGCTGGGATCCAGCGTGGCACAGAAGCCGACTCCAGGCTCCAAGGGTTCGCTGTCCACTGGGGAGACAGGCACGTCAAACAGGGTAATGGCTGGTTAAAACGGCAGAGGGTAACCACCAAAGCAGCCTACAGACTTTGTTTGGATCCTGACTTGAACAAACCAGCTATGAAGGTCATTTCTGAATTTGGACAGATGAGACCAAAGAATTCCTGGTAATTCTGGCACACGCGAAAATGGCAATATGGTTATGAAAGAGAACGTTCTTTTTAAAATAAATATATACTGGATTACATAGGGTCAAAAGAACATGGTAGCAGAGATTTGCTTTAAAATACTTTGGGAAGAAAGAACAAGAAGGATTTGTAAGAACCAGAAAATAAATCTGCCAAGTTTATGAGTGTTTAAATGCCATTTGATAATGAGGTGGGATGACATGGTCACAAATAATTACAATGTAAGGTGGGGAATAGCAAGCTCAGCAGGGATGCGGCGTACACCAAGCCTACAGAGGATGGCCATGAGGTTCTCCTGCTCCCCTTAGTGCTTAGCACCCCACACAGACCTCACTCACGCACACTGAGGCCAGAGCCATAGTTTGGTCACTCACTAGCTATGTGATGGGGGCAAGTTTTAAGCTTTCTGAGTCTCAGTTTCCTCATCTGTAAAATGGGAATAACCCCACCTGCTTCTTCAGTGGGCTAATGTGGGGATCTAACGATACAAAGAATGAAAAGTTCCAGCATGATGAACAGTATTCCCTTTCCTAGCTCTTTAAACAACAGAGATCCTTAGCCCTGGGAGGGCTTCAAAAATTAGCAACGCTCAGCCCAAATCTTCTTGCGCCCATACCCCACCCCTCCCGCCAGAGTCAAGACTCTCCACCAAGAAGGCAGGACCTCTACCCTTCAGCAGTGGGAAGTGAAAGGGGCAGGCTCCTGACTGGGAGGCACACCCAGATCGGGGCGTGGACATGGGCAGAGAGAATACAGACACACTCCAATCACAGGCAGAGACGGATCACACAGCAACTCCTCGCAGCTCCTGGGAATGGGCCTCCAATGACCTCGGCTACAACCAACCTTAGTCCTTAAGCTGATTTATACTAAAGTGTAACTGGTTGGTAGTAGGCTATTCATGACTTTCTTTTAGAAGAGAGGGATGAGGGCCTAAAGAAGCAAGGGATAGGCAGGGATAAAAATGGTGTCATTTTTTCTTGAAACCATAATACTCCTAGAAGAAAACAGAGGCAGTACACTCTTTGACATGGGTCTTAGAAGGATCTTTTCGAATGCCATGTCTACTCAGGCAAAGGAAACAAAAGAGAAAATAAACAAATGAGACTTCATCAGACTAAGAAGCTTCTGCAAGGCAAAGGTAACCAGGAGCAAAACAAAAAGACAACCCGCCATCTGGGAGAAAACATTTGCAAACCATATATCCAACAAGGGGTTAATCTCCAAAATATATAGAGAACTCAACAAGCAAAAAACAAACAACCCGATCAAAAAATAGGCAGAGGATATGAACAGACATTTCTCCAAAGAAGATATACAGATGGCCAACAGGCACATGAAAAGATGTTCAACATCACTAATCATCAGGGAAATGCAAATCAAAACTACACTGAGATATCACCTCACAGCCCTCAGAGTGGCCATAATCACCAAGACAAAAAACAACAATTGTTGGAGAGGTTGTGGAGAAAAGGGAACCCTCATCCACTGCTGGTGAGAATGCAAACGGGTGCAGCCACTATGGAAAACAGTATGGAGATTCCTCAAAAAATTAAAAATAGAAATACCATATGACCCGGCCAACCCACTACTGAGTAGTTATCCAAAGAACTTGAAATCAACAATTCAAAGAGACTTATGCACCCCTATGTTCACGGCAGAATTATTCACAATAGCCAAGATGTGGAAGCAACCCAAGTACACAACAACTGATGAATGGATAAAGAAGCTGTGGTATATACACATATATACAATGGAATACTACTCAGCGATAAAAAAGACAAAATCATCCCTTTTGCAACAAGAAAATGGATGGACCTTGATGGTGTTAAGTGAAATAAGAATGATTTCACTCATATGTGAAAGAAAAACAAATACATGGACAAAGAGAACAGATCACTGGTTACAAGAGGGGAAGAGGGTTGGGGTGTGGGCATAAGGGGTAAGGGGGCACATAAATATGGTGACTGACAAATAATAATGGACAACTGAAATTTCTCCATGTTATAAACTGTTATGACCTCAGTAAAATTTTTTAAATGTCATTTTTTATAAAGATATGCTCAAACAGTGGATCTCAACCACCTCACAACCAGAACGAGCACACAACACCTGCCATTCTCCCAAAAAACAATCCTAAAGTAGAGGCTGTTTCAGACAACAGTCCTCCTCGACCATTCCAGAAGCCAACTCTCAGAGGTGAGAGCAAACCAATGGCAGAGACAGGCTTCCTCCCAAAAAGCACCCCAACACCAGCAGTCAATCCTCCCCCATCTCAGTGTGACTGACACGAGCCTTTCCCCTTGACTGCAGCACAGGGTGGGCAAGGGGGCTGCAGGTTGGACAACCTGCTAACCCTGATCAGTTCAAGCACTTTGCCAAAGAAGCATCCCCTGAATCTTTGGACAGAATCCTTGCAGAAGCCAGGGGCCTGCAGTCAGCACACTGTGGGGCTGTAACAGTCCAGCACAGCACACGGCTTCCCATAGCCACCTGGCAGCAGGAAGAGCACAGGACTGACTTCTGGCAGCGCCTGGTTCAAATCCTGGCTCAGCCACTTTCTGTGTGACCTTGGGCCCTTACCCTACCCTAGTCTGTTTCCCCAGCCCTGAAATGAGGAGGGCAAAACTCTCCCAGTTTTTGGAGAGTAAGCATGAAATCGGCTGCAAAAGCGCCACAGGGCAGGACCTGTCCCCCAGTAGGCACTTAATAAATCTGTCTTCTCTCTGCCCAAAGGCGAGTTCATAACTGCCCTAAGTCTCTAGAACATCGGGTGGGGCTGTCCCAGAGACCTGAGGCCCACCTGTTGGGTCAGCTTCCCCTGGGAAGCGGACAGGAATAGAGCTGGCGCAGGTGCCGGGGCACCCAGGCCCGCAAACGTCAGAGAGCCAATGCGCCGCGGGCTTTCTTCAGCGGGACCTGCCCGGAAGGGGGCCGGTTAGTGACTTCACCCTTCACGGAAACCACTTAAGACTGTAGCGAGCAGGCAAGAATGACAGCAAGAGGGTCAGAAGGCGCGCCTGGGCCCTCCCAGGGCCCGACGCGCCTCCAAAGGAAAGCTCTTTCGGCTATAAGAACCCAGGCATCAGAATAAACAATGTGGAAGGAGACACACGTTTACTCTGGTTTCAACACGCCTCTTCCCCACCAGCAAAGGCCGATCCCAGCTCTGCCGCGAGGCTAGCCTAGGATAAAGTTAACCCCGCCTGCTCCAGCCTGGAAGCCAGGTCAGGGGCGGCAGAGGCTGTGGCAAGACCCCCCTTCTCCCCAGGGCCAGCCGGGCAACGGCAAGGCGGGGGTCGCGGAAGCCCCGGCGGGGGTGCTCCCGGGCCGGAGGTGCGCGCGGCTGCTGGGGACGCATGGCGCAGAGAGGACATTACCGCGGCCCCTGGGGCCACCGCCACGGCCCCGGCCCCGGGCCCAGACCCGGTCCCCGTCCGCAGGCAGCCAGGCCACTGACATTTGGTCCAACTTAACTTCCTGTTGTTAAGGAGGGAGGGGAAAGTGGCGGGGTGGGGGGGGGGGGCGGGGGACGCCCAGTGAAGAGCCAGGAAAGAACGTGAACGCCGCGGAGCCCAAACCGTGGGAAGCAAAGTTAGGGGATGATCTTGTGCCCCGGTGGCAGGCGGTCCTGCTGTCGCATCGCGCCCACTCCGTGTGATGTTTGGGCATTTTCTAGGCTTAGAATTGCAGGGCTGGGTGTTGGGGGGCAGAGTAAGAGGTAGTTCGGGGTACGGAGGCGAGGCTTTCACTGCGTTCTAAGGGGCTCAGGCAGATCGGGGCAGCCTCGGCTCCCCGGCAGCGCCACCTGCTCGCCGGGGGCCCGGCAGGGTGGGTTTGAGGAGGAAGATGCTGCGGCCGCACCTGACCCTCCCGGGCGCGGGCCAGGGGGCAGAGTCCAGGCTCCGCTGGCACGCTCCCCACTGGAGCCCGCCCGCCCGCCCTCCCGCCCTCCCCGGAACCGCGCGCCGCCCCCGCCTTACCGAGGGCCGCGCCGGCCGCCGAGCCTCAGGTCGGCTCCTGCCTTCTCCTCGGGCCGCGGGCACAGTGGTCGGGACCCGCAGGCTGCCTGCGGAGCTGGGAGCGACCGAGGCGGCCTCGCGCAGGCTTAACCCGGGAGCGCCCGCAGCCCTGCGCCGCACGGCCAACCCGGCTGGGAGCCGCCCCATCTGCAGGGTGGCCAATGACGGGGCGTCCGGGGGCGAAGCCCCGCCCCCTGCCCGAGGCCCGCGGCCAATGGCAGCGCGGCGCGGAGCCCGCCCCCGCTCCCGGCCCGCCCCGCCCTGTGGGGCCAGCTGTCACCGCGGCTGCCGCCGGCGCACGTGGGCTGTAGCCAGTCCCCGAGCACAGGGAGCGCGGGGTGCTCCCACCCTGACCCGCTCAGGTGTGAGACCAGCGGAGGGCCGATGGGGGCGGGGCGTGCTGGTGCTGCGCGATGCAAACCCGGTGCTGGTGGCCTGGTGGCAAGGGAGGGGCAAGGGCTGGGCCTCGCACGCTCGGCCTAGGCAGCTGGAGAGCAAGCTCAGGATCCCCTTTGCACGTGGGGGAACAGTCTTCCACTTCCAGTAGCGGCTGCGGTCCTCTCTCTTTGCTTTGCTCCTTGACTTCCCTGGGCTTCAGCAACCCCCCTGCTGGCTGATAGGCTCTTTCCCTCACCTGGACTGGCCTTGCTTAGAATAAAGCTGGTGGGAAGAGAGGCAGTGGTGCAGACCACCTATGTCACCTTAGTCAAGTCCTCTAAGCACCGTCTTTTCTTGGCTGTTAAATGACTCCCTTGATCTCTGCTCTGCGTGCCCTCCGGGTTGCCCATACCCCCACAGCTCCAGAGAGCACCATTCACAGAAAATACAGTGTGAACGGTGTGGGGCCTAGTGAGGGGTGTGAAGCAGCTTTGTAAACTGTGCTTACTGCGAACACCTTGTGCAGACTGCCCTGGCAGCAGGGATGGTGAAACAGGTATCCCACGGGCAGGAGCCAGGTCTTACTCACCTCTGGGGCCCAGCGCCCATCACAGGCTTGGCCCAATGTAGGCATCAATAAATGTTCTTGGAACGAGCTGACCCAGGGGGAGAACAGGCAGGCTTGGGCAGCAAGAAAACAGCACTGTGGCTCCCAGCTGCTGGAATTTCCACAGCACCAGACCTCCCTCTGGAGAGACTATGTTCCCTTGCTGCCAGGCAAGAACAAATAGAGCAGATCTCCCCAGTACCCTGGCCTTTTTTTTTTTTTTTTTTTCTCTACTCCTTACCATGTGATCCTAATCAGGCCTCTGGGTTTTCCCAGGGATTGTCCTACCTGGCAGCTCTCTCAGCATCTTCAGAGTTCAATCAACTTCCTGCAGATGAATTTTCAGTAAAATCTGTCCCTGGTCAGTCTGCAAGACTCAGTCAGCAGTGACTCTCAGAGGGGCAGCTCTCCACTCTGATGGAACTCTGCCTGTGATGCCAGTGGATGCCAGGTTCTCTCTGCACAGTATCTCATTTAATCCTGACAATGGCTCTGTAAGGTATGTTTTGGGTTTTTTTGGTTTTTTTGGTGAGGAAGATTGGCTCTGAGCGAACATCTGTTGCCAATCTTCCTCTTCTTTTTTTCCCCTCCCCAAAGCCCTAGTACATAGTTGTATATCTTAGTTGTAAGGATAGTTCTGCTACTTGGGACGCCATCACTGCATGGCTTGATGAGCAGTGTGTAGGTCCGCACCCAGGATCTGAACCAGCAAACCCTGGGCTACAGAAGCAGAGTGTGCAAACTTAACCACTCTGCCACGGGGCTGGCCCCAAGGTATGCTTTCTTATTATCATCCCCTCTTACAGATGTGGAAACTGAGACTCAGTGAAGTAGAGTAACTTGTCAAGATCACATGGTTAATGAGGATCAGAGTCTGGATTTGAGCCCAGAGCTATCTGATTCCAGAATCTGCGTGCCTAAGCACTATGCACTGGGCCCTCTATAACCCTACCCACATCTCTAGAGCGCTGGACAGGTCAGGTCTATCCCTGAAGCAATGGCTCTGGGGCCTGACCCACCCCCAGTACGTCCAAACATTCTGTGGA